TAAAGATCTAGAAAATTTCAAGTGCTTCATTGGGATAAAAGTAGCAGAATCCAAGAAAGGGAAAACTGTGTCACAACGAAAATATCTAATTGACTTGCTAAAGTGTAGAATTTTGAGAAAAAATATTTACTTTATTTTCACTCTATATTTTGGTGTTACAAGCGTCACATATATATACAAGATTCCTACGTGCAAATAAGAAAATTATCCTTATAGTAAGGATATTAAATAATTAAAAGAAATAGCTATATAAGAAAAGTATCACAATTATTTAGACAACAAAATATTCATGTCAACATTTCCCTTCAAGTTGGTGCAAAAATATCATACGTATCCAACTTGCGTATCAAATTCTGAAAAATTTTGTTACAAAGTCTTTTAATGAAAATATCAGCCACCTGATTGATAGAAGACACATGATATAAGCATAAAGAATCATCAACCACTTTCTGTTTTATGAAGTGACGGTCAATCTCAATGTGTTTCGTCCAGTCATGTTGAATTGGATTTTGGGCAATACTAATGACTGTTTTATTGTCACAAAATAATGACAAGATTTCTTTGTTTAAACAAATTTTAAATTCCTTCATTTGCTTTTGCAAGCATAATAATTCACATACCCCCTTAAATTATTGTTCTATATTCTGCTTCAACACTACAACAACTACACTCTCCTTCTTGCTTTTCTATGTAATCAAGTTGTCTCCAACAAGTGTGCAGTAAGTAGTAGTTAACTTTTTATCATCTAGAGATCCAACCCAGTCGGTATTTGTAAATACTTCTATCTTAAGGTGACCATTTCTGGAGAAGAGTAAACATTTTTTTTGTGCAAATTTCAGATATTGTAATATTCGAAAGACAGCATGTAAATGAGTCTCGCGAGAATCATGCATGTACTAACTAACCAAGCTAACTGCATATGCTATATCTGATCTGGTATGTGAGAGATAAATGAGTTTTCTAACCAATATCTGATATCTTTCTATGTCAAGTGATGTACCACTATCAGTTTGTAGTTAATGATTATTTTCAATGGGGCATCTCTTCTAGCCAATGTAATATATATTTTTTTTGAGAAATAAAGATTTCTTTATTAAATTTAACAATCTCAATTCATAGAAAGTATTGTAATTTTCATATATTCTTGATTTCAAATTCTCGAGTAAGAAGTTCTTTTAGTCGAATCATCCCATTTGTATCATTTGCAGTCACCACAATATCATCTACATAAATAATGAGAAAAGTGATTTTATCCTCACAATGCTTGATGAACAGGATATGATCAACATTGTTTTGCTGATATCCGAAAGAAATCATAACTCCTCTAAACCTTTCAAATCATGCTTTTGGAGACTGTTTTAATTCATATAAGCCCTTCTTTAATTTGCAAACCTTCCCTTGTGTTTTTTCATCTTCAAACTCATATGGAATTTATATGTACATCTTATCTTCTAAGTTCCCATGGAAGAAGACATTTTTCACATCAAACTGGTGCAAATCCCAATCAAGATTAACAGCACATGATAGTAATATTTCAATTGTGTTCATTTTTGCGATTGGAGTAAAAGTTCCCTGATAGTCAATTCCATATGTCTGAGTAAACTCTTTAACTATTAATCTAAATTTGTATCTTTAAATCGATCCATTTGTTTTGTGTTTTACAGTGAATACCCATTTGCAACCAACTATCTTCTTTCCTTGTGGGGTTGAAATAAGCTCCTATGTTTCATTTTTTACCAATGCTTTCATTTCTTCAATCATCGTTTCCTTCCATTTGGGATCTTGTAGTGCTTCTTTTGAATACTGTAGAATAGACACAAAGGAAACAGATAAGACAAAGGCTCTATAGGAGGGAGATAGAGAGTCATAAGAAGCAAAATTAGATATAGGATGCTTAGTGTAAGTTCTGATTCCTTTTCTAAGAGTAATGGATTTATCAAATAATTTATAAAGAAAAGATGACTCACCAGTATCTTAAGAAACTAAAGAAGATTCTTGACCTAAAATAAGGTACAAGATGACTTTTCCTATCTTATCTCTCCTTGAATATTTCTTCAAGTCCAATTTATCCAGTCGTCCAGTATTTTCTTCTTGAGTAAGACCTTCTTACATAAAATTCTCCCCCTCAATATGACTATCAAGAGTTACCGAACTGAACGTCACCTCTTCCATTTCACTCTCTCCTTGAAGAAGTGTTGGGGTGGAGCTGAAGTATAGTTTAGATTCTCTAAAAGTAACATCCATAGTTATAAAATATTTTCTAAATGGTGGATAATAATATTTGTAACCCTTTTGAGTAGAAGAATACCCAACAAATACACACTTGAGAGTTTTAGGTTTCAGGTTACTCACATTTCTAGTATGAACAAAGTAAACACATTCAAATACTTTAGGAAAAATAATCTAGGAATTTGTACTTTGCAAATCCTCTAAATGACTCCTAAAATCAAGAACTCGCAAATGTATTCTATTAATAATGTAGACAGATGAGAGAATTGCATCTTCCCAATAATTTTTCAGTAGATTCATAGCTCTGATACCATGTAAAATTTTGGAAAAAAATATTTACTTTATTTTCACTCTATATTTTGGTGTTACAGGCATCATATATACACATATATATATAAGATTTTTAAGTACAAATAAAA